TTTCCATTATTTTTAATTAATATTTTGTCCGAAAATCCTGTAAACAACCTAATGAATTTCACGTATGTTTCAATTTTAAATTCCATGTTTTGTTATGTTAATTTATTCCATGTGTTTGAACTCACTTCAATGCTCCAATGTGTTTAAACTCACTTCATCCAAAAACGTAAAAAAAAGTATTAATGAAATTTATTTATTTTTACATCGAAATGTGACTTTTTAATTTTATAATTAATCAGAGAAAAAAATAAAAGGAAAACATTACTTATAATAATTTAATTAATGTTTTACTAAATTGATATGTAAAAAAACGTGCAGAGTACATTTTATTGACGGTGCTGAAATACAGAGAAATAAGAGTCAAAACACTATTTTCATATGGACGGAATTCATTTTTAACATTTGGACTCCCACACCACTCCAAATGGTCTTAGGCTCTGTTTGCAACCCCTTATTTTAAGTGATTGTGGTTTTTTTCTAAGAAAAAAACACTTATTTTACCAAATACTACCAAGTTTTACTTTCTCGGTTTTCATGTAGAATCTACTTTTTATTTTTTCTATTGCACAAAAAGCACTTATTTTATCAAACACTATCAACTTTTACTACTAATCACTTTTTCCCCAAAAAGTGCTTTTATTTAAGCACAAGCACTTGCAAACAAAGTCTTAGCGCAATTAATAAGATGAGAATACTGTTGTCAAAATGACGCGTTAATATGAGTATAATTGATCATAGCTTTTATTTTTGTTGAAGAATAGGAATCGCATATCACTTAGGGTCTGTTTGCAACAGCTTCTCCTTTCAAAAAAGTGCTTTTTCTAATGAAATGAGGAGAAGTGATTAAATAAAAGTTGATAGTGTTTGAGAAAAAAGTGATTTTGAAAAGTAAAAGTGGGTAGTGTTTGGTAAAATAAGTGCTTTTTGTGTAATAGAAAAAGTAAAAGCACTTTTGACGCGGAAGCCGAGAAAAATAAAAGTTGTAGTGTTTGGGAAAATAAGTGCTTATTTAAAGACAAAAGCTGAGAAGTGCTTTTTTAAAAGGAGTTGCAAACCAACCCTTACTCTCGTTTTCGTGGCGCGCAAAATCAATCAGCGGTGATGTCGACAGTGAGTGTTCCGGTGTGTGTGCCTCCGGTTGAACAAGACTGTGAGCAACTCCGAGCTGCCTTCAAAGGTCCTCTCTTTCGATCATTTTCCTAGTTTTCAATCTCATTCTTTCTCTCGTTCTGGTCTGGTTTCAAGTTTTTTCTTCATCGCTACAGATCCTGATTCCCGATCGAAGGATATATAATATCTCGATTTTTCATATATTCATTAATTTTTCCTGTTTTTTTTTTTGGTGAAAATGAAAACAGAATCGATCTGATTCTTTGTAATCAGTAAACGATTAATTCAAACCAATCATACAGGCTATTATTTCTGGATAAAACTCACTGCTCTTGTCACGCAGGATGGGGAACAAATGAGAAGTTGATCATATCAATTTTGGGTCACAGGAATGCTGCCCAGCGCAATTCGATCCGGCAGGCTTACGCTGAAACCTATGGTGAAGACATCCTCAAGGAGTTAAACAAGGAGCTCTCAAGTGACTTTGAGGTACTCGTCAAATCAAATTTGAATCATATTGAATTTGCTCTTATAGTCCAATCCAATCTCTTCATTGGTTTCCTACAATTAACAAGTTATTATAACTCTTGCTGCTTCAGAAAATTGTAGTGCTCTGGACACTGGACGGTCCGGAACGTGATGCCCTTTTGGCGAATGAAGCGACTAAGAAATGGACAGCAAGCAATCAAGTGCTTGTGGAGATTGCCTGTACAAGGTCACCTAAGGAGTTGATTGCTGTCAGAGAGGCTTATCATGCTCGTTTCAAGAAGTCCCTTGAAGAAGATGTTGCCCAACACACAACTGGGGACTACCGCAAGGTATTACATTATTAAGGGTCTGTGGGGAACACCTAGCCAAAATGGCAACAAGCTGGAGATAAGTTAGTAGCCAGGAGGTAAAAATAAAAGTGTAGTAAGCCATAGCAGTCATTTGCGGAAGATCATATTGATATTCAATCTACTGCAAAACCCTAAAAGCTCTCTCTCAATGACAATTTTCAGTTCTTCAGTTTAATCATCAATAGTAGATAAAATAAAATGATGAAATCTTTTATGAGAAGCTATATACCAACGGAAACTCATAAGTTTATGGGGAGCTTAAAATTAGGTATAAGCCTAAGCGTCCAACTTAAACTCTAGCAAGCAGAAACGAATTATGGAGTAAGATTTATTCAGTTTAGCAGTAGCTTAATAACATGAACTTGGTATTAAAACTAATTAGAGTAAACAAGTAGCAAATTTGTGAATTGTGATATTATCAATCATCAAATTTTATTCTATTTCCCCAGCTTTTGGTGCTTTTGGTGAGCTCATATCGCTATGGGGGCGATGAGATCAATATGACACTTGCTAAACATGAGGCTAAATTGATGCACGAGAAGATATCAGACAAGTGCTATGCTGATGATGATGTCATTAGGATTCTGACTACAAGGAGTAAATGCCAGATCAATGCAACCTTGAATCACTATAGAGATGAATACGGACAAGATGTCCTCCTGGTACGTTGCACATGTATCTCATATCATATCCTATGATGGGGGAATAGGAGTTTGCACTCCACTTTTGTATCCAAAATTGAGTTCTCCCCCTATTTTTAAAATCTATAATATTTTCACCCCTGGGTTTGAAAAATCTGTCAATGAAAGATGGAGTGCAAATTGTCATATTTGGGGTTGCAAATATTAGTGATTTCATGAATGGGTGTGTAAAGTCGTATTTGGATGATTAAGTGGGGTACAAAGTACAAACTCTAATAACCCCTTCTAAGATCGTTTGTGAAAACATCCATATTTTATCCACAGGACTTGGAAGGGGATGGAAAAGACGAGTTCCTTTCCATACTAAGAACAACAATCCAAGCTCTTCTCTACCCTGAGAAGTACTTTGTGGAGGTACTTCGGGGTGCAATCAACAAAAGAGGCACAGATGAAGGTGACTTAACAAGAGTTATTGCAACCAGAGCTGAGGTTGATATGAAGGTCATACTGGAGGAATTCCAGAAAGTGAATAGTATCCCTTTAGATCGTGCCATTGCTAAAGACACCTGTGGTGATTATGAAGACATGCTCTTGGCTTTGCTTGGCCATGATGATAATTGAAGAATATCACACATCTCATCTCAATAATAATAAATATTCCCAGAGTTTGCCTTGTAGCTTTTTCAAAGTTGCACTTTACATGTGATTTATTGGGTGTGTGTTTCGAGTGTTTTTAAAGAACCATGCGGTTCGAGAACTCGGTTTTCTGCTATAGAAAGCATCTTTATAACTTTATTTGTGTTTTCATGTTGTCAAAATTTTATTAAATCTAATCGGCAATATCTCACTTTCCCTGTAATGAAACTTTGTCGACCGGATCGTCCTCACCCCTTCTTGGTCAGCAATCATAGGTTCCGTCTCCATCGACGCTCCATCAGCCTCCTAATTGCAGAGACACCAGGTTCCCATCCCATCCATGGAATTGAAATCCCTGATGAGAAAACCACAGATGCTGCCCTCTTGCTACAAATCATCCATCTTCCTTAAGTACTCCTACCATCCTTTTAAGTAGTTATTGTTATATCTAAGTAGAATTGTCAAATCAGCTCTCGTATTATACTTAAGTCTTTATACGTAATAATCATATCATACAATCAAGCACTTTAACTTTAAAATAATGCTCAAATTAGGCATTCACCCGTCGATTAGGGCCGGGTTCATTTGCACTTGCTTTAATGTGAACAATTAGTTTCTTCCATGTCCCTCCATGGAGTTTGAAACATTCATAACAGGGGATTTCGGGAGTTCTTGGGGTACATTTGAGGATGCCATGCATGGTGATGATGGAGATTAAGGTTTTTTTTTTGGGGGTAGAGAAGTGGAGTTTAGTTGAGGATATGGGGAGAGGGTCAATGAAAATTATGTGATTTTGAGGTGGAGTAGAGGATGAGAGTGATTTTTTTTTTTTTTTACAAAAATGATGTTTGTACTCACTCTTATACCCACTTTTGTACTCACCTATGTTTGTGAAGTATTTTTTTTTTGTCTGTGAACCCCAGTTCATAAACAATATTTTGCACAAACAAAATATTGTCTGTGAATCGGGTTCACAGACAAAAAAAACACTTCACAAATATGGTGGGTATAAGGTGGGTATAAGAGTGAGTACATCAAACATTGTTGTTTTTTTTATTCAAGGTAGAGGAGAGAAAAAATGACAATTTTTTTAAAAAAATTATGCAAATACACAAGTAAAAAGTGTTGCCTTTCCCCGACAACGGCGCCAAATTTTATGGCATTAAAGTTGTTGTGTGCCTCAAATTAAATTCACTACTAAGGACTAATGCGGTAGTATAGCGTAGTGAAGTTCGTATCCATAGGGAAAATGCTTTTTGCGTATGTGTAAGCGTAATAAATAAAAGTAAACGGAACAGGGATTGAATATTTTGATAATTGAGAAAGCAAATAAAATACTAAAATGAGTGAAATGAAATATTGAATGTAATTAGCCTTGGTTTTGCTAATTTTGAATTAGTGAAGTGCTCATTGATCATTGTTACTACTTTAATGATCTCTCTTGAATACTTAATTGTTGAGGAATTCCAAATCATCTAGAATAGCTATTAATAACGAGACATGTTGATCTTAATTGTAGCACTCGGTCGATTTAATGAAATAAAGTAAGAACGATAACTTGTAACCCAAAGTGTGTATTCTCGGTTGTCACCACGAGAATCTTAGGTCCAACTTTTCTATTTAATTCATCCATTTGTCTTATGATGAAATCAATTAAGATTGATAACTACTTCCTCTTAGATTATTAACTATGAGATGCATTAGTAATATTAGGTTACTACTTGTGAAAGGACCAAGTGAAATATCAATATGGATTATTATGGAATGTGAATAGGGATATAATTAATATTCAAGAGAGAACAATTAAAGAAACAACTCGCATATCACAAGCTTCAGTATTTTTAACTCCACATTCTTCTTCCAAAGATAAGCGCATCGGTGGGCCAGAAAGGACAATATCTCAGGAAAAGAAGGTCATTTATTTTCAGAGCCAAGTAGTATTGAGAAGATATTGGGAGAGATAGATGAACAGAGGCAACTTGTTCCTCTATATTCTGAACAACAAAAAATTGTTTCTGAGAGGCCAACGTCTCCTAGGAGTACTCCCCCCCGGACTACTCCGTTCAGAGATGTTTCGCCTAAGCATTCCCCTCCTAGAGAAGTTTCTCCAAGGGTTGCATCCCCAAAGCCTGACCCTCCAATAGTTAGCTCCCAAAAAGCTGCCTCTTCTCATGTTGCCCTTCCAAAGCCTGCCTCTCCTAAGACGGATTCTCCCAAAGTTGCTTCTTCTAAGGTGAACCAAAACCGTAAAGAAACCAGTAATGTTTATAGAGCAGAACCAACTTTTCAAGTGCTTCAACTCTCAGCTATTAGGATCCAGTCAATCTTTAGGGGTTACATGGCGAGGAAGAATTTCAGATCTTTGAGGGGTTTACTGAGGCTTCAAGGATTTATTAGAGGTGATAATGTCAAAAAGCAAACCGTTAATGCCATGAAACAGATGCATCTTTTTGTTAGGATACAAAATCAAATTCGATTACGTAGGATCAAAATGTCAGAAAACCAAGCAGCCCAGTGGCAGACTTCCAAGAATTATAAGGACGGGGAGAGCACCTTGAGCAAATGGTCCCTGCCGTCTGAGGCAGGTAACAATGAGAATTGGGATGGTAGCCGGCTGACCAAAGATGAAGTTGATGAAAAACGACAAAAAAACTAGAGGCAACCATGAAGAGAGAGAGAGAGAGCCATGGCTTATGCATATTCTCATAAGCTTTGGAAAGCCAATCCTAAATACAAAATGAACATGCAATCAAATGGTTTCCCCTTGTGGTGGAAGTGGTTAGAGCATGAACTACCTTCTGTAAATCATTTCGTAAGCCAGTCTGCTGTAAAAAATCCCATCAATCACCAGCAAGGGCAATTTCAGAGTGCACACCAAGCCCCCCACTAAGAAATTACACCGAGTATGGTGAGCATTTTGAAGCAGATACCCCAACATCAACAAAGTCATCAGTTCCAGCAAGACCAACACCATTTCATACAATCATACTCCTGGTAGAACACCTCCTTCTTCAAGCCTAAGAAAAAAGTATGCCCACTCTGAAGCCAGCTATGCCGGTTCACCTTATAAGAGCATCTCCAATGGGGATGTCTATTCTCTTACACACTCTTACAATTGGGTCCCATTTTTTATCTCACAAATTTTATGTGTAGGACCTACATATCTCCTTATTTATTTTCATTTTCATTTTTTACATCACTTCTAACCCACTTTTCATCCACTTTTGCTCCTCGATTCCCGTGTAATGTCTATTTGTGGACATTGTCATAGACATTGTCTACAATTTACTCCTATCTCTCTCTTCCTTTTCATTTTTCCATACACACCACTTTCTCCATATTAAATTAAAATAATCATTCTATCTCTATCTCTCTCCTATGCCACGTAGGATAAACTTTACTCCAATCCACTACCCCATTGGAGATGCTCTAAGTTCCCTTCGAAGGACGATGACAGCCTAACAAGCTGTCCTCCATATTTAGTTCCAAATTACATGTCACCTACCATTTCAGCCAAAGCCAAAGCCAAAGCCAGTCGAGGGAAGCATAGGAAGCCCATCCAGTCACTCAGCCAGGAGGTTATCCTATCCTTTGACTTCAAATGTGGGGTCATTCAAGTGGAACAGAGGTTCCAGCAAAGGCGGCGCTTCATCTCTGAAGGACTTTAGTGGAAGTGCGGATAGGTTGAGTGTACGTGGATTCTGCTGTTTCCTTTTGTAGGGTTAACCATTTTTTGCATGCATTGGGTGTATGTATTGGAGATTGTGCTTTATTGTGCTTATTCCCAAATACTGATTGTGGTTGATGTTGCATATTGGTATTAGTGTAATAGTGTTTATTCTGTAAAAAAAAACTTCAATATAGAAAAACCAAGCTCAAAAGACTACATAAATTACAAGAAAAAAGTCTATATGAAAGAGGGGATTGGTGTATATCTAAAATGGGAATGAAAGTGGTGTTTTTATAGGAGAAATGAAGTGGTCGGGTCTCATACTCGACCGAGTATATATCTATAATACCCGATCGAGTATCCTTGGCAATATGTAGCTACGAAAGTGCCGCAATCTAGTCATATCTGACCGGGTATGTCAATATACCTGACCGGGTATATGACCAAAATCTGATTTTTCCATGTTCTCTTGCTTTATTTGATCTCATATGATCTCCACACTACTAAAAAACAAAGATTTTGGCACGGATTTAGCATGGAGTTTTGGCACGGATTTGGCAAAATTCATAGTGTACTTGACAAGGATTTGGCGCAGATGCGTTAAATCCGTGCCAAATTCCGTACCAATGTCGTTTTGTCACCAGCTATTTGGCATGACGTTGTGCTAAAAACAAGTTGCAATCCATGCAAAACTCGACCAATCCGTGCCAAATCCGTGCCTACCTCAATGTTTTTTTGTAGTGCTAGGTCAAATCATACCCGATCGGATATTGGGTATACCCGACAGAGTGTAATACCAAATCGGATTTTTCACATTTCATGTCTCTCATGAAGCTTCCTCTTGTCTCTATGCTCCTTCCTTATGCTCCCAAGCTCCTTCCTCTTCTTTTCATCATGTTTCTTGCTTACATGTCAATAATATCTTAAAATCTTCTAATTCTAGTTTAATTTTTAAAGATAAAGATTACACTGTATCGTACAAAAGCTAAGTAAACACAATGTAAAACCATTCTAAAATGTGGTGTTATGCACTACTAAAAAATAAATAAAAAATGTCTCTCATTCTCTCTTATTTTTCCTAGGAGTCCTTTTTGACTTTTCATCCTAGGTCCTCTTTTTTTTCTTCTTCTCACCAACTCATTCATTTTTTTTGCTTTGCCACATTTTTGCTTAGGTCGCGCTTTGGGGCTTTCAACCCAACATGCTTTCTTTCTTCATTTCATCTTTTGTTTCATTTTTTCAATTTTTTAAGAATTAAAGAACAAGATAACAAAGCATGAAAGTAGAATAAAATAGTGTATGCACAATGAGTTTAATTTACAGGATATTCCAAATATGACCATGCTTAATATGAGCAATGTCACTAGTGCTTTATTTCAACATCATCATCATCGTAAAACTTGTCAAAATTACCCTACTGAGGGGAGTCATACCAGAAGTGGTGGGCATAGTGTTGAGATCCTCCAATCGTTGAATCCACTTGATAAAGTTGACCAGATCGGGCTATTCATTTGCACTTGCTTTAATGTGAACCACTACTTTTTCCCATGTCCCTCCATGGACAGTTTGAAACATTCATAATAGCAGATTTCGGGAGTTCTTGGGGTGCATTTGAGGATGCCATGCATGATGATGATGATGGAGATTGTGGTTTTTTGGGTAGAGAAGTAGAGTTTAGTTGAGGATACGGGGAGATGGTCAATGAAAATTATGTGATTTTGAGGTGAAGAGAAAATTATGTGGTCATGAAGGGTAGAGAAGTAGAGTTTACTTGAGGCACACAAACACACTTTTCAATGGTGTGTTTGCGTAATATTTTTTAAATTTTTTTGACATTTTTTCTCTCCTCTATCTTGAATAAAAAAAATCACTCTCATCCTCTAAACCACATAATTTCACTACTAAGGGCTAATACCATAGTACTGTTGGGATTGGAAAATTCTTCTATTCAATATCAAGAACAGAATTACAATAGGAGGAGCAAACTCTCACACTCAACTATTACAAAAACCAATCCTCACCAATACACTTCTACTCTAAGTGTATTTCACTCTTCACACACTTTTCTCACTTTCTAAACTGATGATATGAACAACAATAGAACACTCTATTTATAGGCTAGGTTGGAGACAAGAGGAAGTTGCATCCAAGCTTCCTAGTTATCTCCATATCTCCTTCCATGTTCATGTGTTTGATAGCTCCTTCCTAGAAGGTGTTATATGTCTCTTGGCAACTTCCAAGAAAGAAGGTGGAAGAATCCTACAAATCTCCCCCTCCACCTTTTTCTTTATTTCTCTCGTTCCTGCGATGCTCGTTGGCTCCCCCTCGCTGGCAACAAGTATCCATTCGGATGTGGAATACTTTCTCTGTGGAACTATGTCTCGCATAGAACGTCGAACATGAGTACCTTCAGCTTCGTCTTCAGATGAAGGCTCCCCCTGCTGAGGAATATCATCACTGTGAGTATCATCATCACCTACTGAACCATCACTCTCTTGTTCAGTAGTATCATGCATCTCCTCGTCGCTGAGAGGAATGTTTGATGATACAGGCACTTTGTCTTCTGGAGTATGTTGTTGGCGGATTATTGGAACACACCCATGAAACTCGTTTTCATGAAATGCAACATCTCTGCTTCGTACAATTTTCTTCAATTCGGGATCCCACAACCGGTATCCGAATTCTTCATCACCATAGCCGATGAAGATACATGGGTTTGACTTGAGATCAAGCCTCTGTCTCAACTCCTTGGACACATGTGCAAATGCCTTGCACCCGAACACTTTCAAATGAGAGTAAGAAACATTTCTTCCTGACCATTTCTTCTCTGGCACTTCAAAGTTTAAAGGAACAGAAGGTGACCTGTTTATAAGATAACAAGCTGTCAGCACAGCTTCACCCCAGAATGGCTTAGGTAGTTTAGCCATACTCAGCATGCAACGAACTTTCTCCATAATGGTCCGATTCATTCTTTCGGCTACACCATTGTGTTGCGGAGTTCGTGGAACCGTCTTCTCATCATGTCTGATTCCATATGTGGCGCAATATGCTGAGAACTCTCGAGAAGTGTACTCTCCTCCATTGTCTGAACGCAGGCACTTCAGCTTCTTCCCTGTTTCTCTTTCTACCATGGCATGAAATAATTTGAAGCGATCAAACACTTGATCCTTACTCTTCAAACAATAAGCCCATACCTTTCGTGATGCATCATCAATGAAGGTCACGAAATATCTGCTTCCTCCAAGTGACTCCTCTTCAATGGGTCCGCATACATCAGAGTGTACAAGACTGAGTAACTCTGAATGTTTCTTCCTGGTAGAACTGAAGGAAACCCTGTGTTGTTTCCCGAATAGACAGTGTTCGCATGGATCTAGGGCAACACCTTTGCCCATGGAAATGACTTCCTTCTTTGCAAGAGTTGTTAATCCCTTCACGCTCAAGTGGCCTAGCCTTCGGTGCCACAAGTTTGGTGATATCTCTTCTTCAACAGCATTGAGACTCGGATGACACAACTTTGCATGAGTTTTATAAAGAGTACCACAAATATGGCCTCTTGCAACAACCAAGGAACCTTTAGATAACTTCCACATACCTTCTTTGAATCGGTTAAGATATCTTTGCTGATCCAGAGCTGTACCGGAGATGAGATTCAATCTAAGATCCGGAACATGTCGAACATCTTTCAACACAAGTGTGCATCCGACATTGGTTGTTATGTGCACATCACCAATGCCAACAATCTTCGAGAAACTCGTGTTTCCCATCTTCACAGCTCCAAAGTCTCCTGACTTATAAGATGTGAATAAGTTCTGGTGTGGAGTAGCGTGAAATGATGCGGCTGTATCAATCACCCACTCAACTTCATGAGTACCTATATGTAAACATTCTTGTTCACCATGTGTAACAAGACACACGTCTGATGACAAACTAACCATGGTCTCACCATCTTCTTGGCTAGTATTTTGACTCGTCTGTGGCTGCTCTCGTAGAAACTTTCTACAATCTCTTTTTCTATGCCCATAATTACCACAATAGTTGCAATATCCTTCAAAGCAAGTATTGTTTTCACAGGACATACCTCGTTCTTGTGATCGGCCGCGAACTTGAGAATTTCCTCTGTTTTGACCTTGGCCTCTACCTCGACCTCGACTTCTTCCTCCATTTCTGCCTCCCCCTCGTTTGTTGGTTTCTGACACGAAGGCATATGATTGTTCAGTCCAAGCTTCTTTTCTTCGGGCTTCTTCGTTCATAAGGGCATCTGTGACCATCTGCATAGTCACTTTGCCATTGGGAGCAGAATTGCTGAGAGTGACAACAAGAGTCTCCCAACTGTCAGGTAGAGAGCTCAAGAGTAGTATCACCTGCTCTTCATCTTTGAGAACCCAACCGGTGGTGCGCAACTGATTCACAAGATCCTGGAATTGACTGGTGTGTTCTGACACCGAAATACCTCCCCGTAATTTGTGGTTTACTAATCGCCTCATTAGTAAAGTCTTATTTCGTGCGGTTTTCGCTTGATACATGCTACCAAGCTTCTCCCATAGTGTGTAAGCACTTTGTTCTTGCGCAACATGGTGGAACACACTATGATCGATCCACTGTCGAATTTGTGCGACAGTTTTTCTATTCATTTTTGTCCATTCTTCATCCGTCTTTTTATCCGGTTTCACGCCATTATTATCAAGAGGATCAGCTAAATCCCTCAAATTTAGCAAATCCTCCATCCGAGGCTTCCACATATTGTAATTTGTGGAAGTGAGCGCAATCATGGTGTCCGATGATGATTTATCCATAATAAAACGCTCAAAATATCTCGTACCTTATTTTCGGAGCCGAGTTTGGACAAACGGAGCTCACCGTTGGATCCGGAATGGCCGAAAATGATAGGAACCGGTCTGACCTCGTCCAAAACCGGTCTGAAAATGGGTGAACCGGCCTCCACAAGTACGAACCGGTTCGGTCCGGTTCAGGCAGCAGCCCAGTGAGCAGACCAGCAGGCGGATGACGTGGCAACAGCTGGCTCTGCGCTGGCGCTGACGTGGCGCCACGTGTCACTGACGTGGCGATGACGTGTCGCTGACGTGGCACCCAGAGGCTGGCTTGCACGGCTG